GAGTTGTCACAGAAACAAGAAGAAGAAACAGACTAAAAGAGTTGTCTTGGGAGGTGAAAGGAAATGCGTTTCTCCAACCCATCCAAAAAATACCACACAGCATCATATGACCGAACACATTTACCCAGCTTCAGGACCTGACAGCAGATGTGGTAGTCAAGGCCTGCAGTCTGGACTTTGAGTACTGGGAGCAGTACAAACAATCCCTGAAAAGGGAAGTACAGTAGTTGTGGACACAAATAACATTGGTATAAGCCGCACACTTTCCCATCGAGGACAAATCAAGCAACATGGCAAGAAATTGAGCAGCAGGACTAAATGGGTTGTTTTCTCAGAAATCCTGCCAGGCCTGGGCAAACCCTGAGAATGACTACAAATGTTAGGCCGCCCAAACACAACACATGGATGAGGTCTAGGTATGCAGTATATGTAAGACAGGAAGCCAAGAGAGAAAATGAAAGGGATATTGCAGTGAAGGGTAAAAGAAATGTTAAGTTCTTTAGGGAAAGGGGCTAATGTACTACATAAATATTTCACTAAAGAAGGTGACAACATGCCCCAGGTCAAAGTTCTTTGACCACCTTGGGTAGACCGACTGCACCCAAGACCTCCTTTTCCATATTGTACTTTTTCTACAATTTCTCTGAATTGAGAGATTCACACCTTCTTCAGCCTTCTTTATTGTCAATTTTCTTCTAGTAGTTGTAGCACCGGTGCTACATCTATGACACATTTATCCTGTGCAGTTTCATTTCCAGCTGCACCTTGCAGCACTTATCTTAGAAAAGAAAGCTGAATAGAGTGGACAAGCTAGCTGGAAGGGAGTTGCATCTCGCATTCCTGCAAGTGCCAGAGCCTCTAGCACAGGTTTGTGATGCCTCGGAGATGTTAAATGATGAGTGACTTGAGGGTGGTCTGGTCAGGGGAGAAATCAGCCCACATTTCCTCATTCTCCCCTGTGTGCGCTGCAGGAAAAAAGTATTCTGCTTTTATTCTGTGCCAGAAACAAGACATCCATTAGTAATTTTGCCCTTGCAGCTTATCATTTTTACATCAATTATGTATATATACCTCTGAAATTCAACGATCAAGGGTATGTAGAATGTTCCTTACAAATGCTCTGGGTAACAGTGGATTCATAAATATTCAGATCCCCCATCAGAATACCTTTTCTGACACTAATTTGAAAGAAACGCCAATAGCCTGCTAAAACAAACATCCATTTACTGTTCTGTTAGACTGTAAATATTGATAAGGATGGAAGTGTTAAAGGCTCAGTAGCTATCTACATAGTGTTTATCTGATATGCTTCATAATAATGGGAATACTAATTGAAATTAATAATGCAATAAAGTGATTGTTTAACGATGATGCATGGTGTGATTTGGTAAAAGGCTATATATTGCTGCCCTGAGGTTGGCAGACTGGATTACAGCTAAGAAGTGGTTGTGAAAAAATGCTTAGCCTGAGTCATTACTAATACATCAGCCAGCTTTGTAGAATTCCTTTGTGTATGCGATTACCATGAGGCAGCGCTGTGGTGCAGTGGTCAGCATTGCTCTCTTGCAACACTGAGGCCCCGGGTTCAATTTCGGACCTGCGGTGCCATCTGCACTGGACATTCATGTTCTTCCCATGGGGTTTCCTCTGGCTGCTCCTCCCAAAGCCCAAAGGCATACTGGTGGGTTCATTGGGTTCTGGGATGCTTGGCTCTTGTGTGAATGTGTGTGTGTGCGCCCCCGGAGGACAGATGTCCAGCCCAGGGTGTATCTTGTGCTGTGCCTGTTGCTTGCGAGGATGGGCTTCGGCTTCCCAGTGACCCAGTGAAGCAGTTAGAAAATGGATGGACGTTATTTAACAGTTTTAAACTTTTCATTCTCAGCCTTGTTGTTTTTTAAAAGAATTTGAAAAGAAAAAAAAGGCTCAGTGTGAAGCTCTGAGATTCTTGAAGAAAAAATGTGGGAATATAGGGCTTTGTAAAAAAAAATTATCAATCTGTAGAGAGATGGAGTCCATATTAGTGATGTCATCAGACTTTCCTTGAATGCCATATTATGACAAATTTGTGGAGGGATGTGTATTTTCATATTTATAAATGAAACATAGTGAGCTTCAGAACTCCATCTTAACACAAGTGAAGTAAAGGATACATTATTCATTAATGGCATTTTTATATTTCCAGGAAAGGTCTTTTTTATAGATATGCCTTGTCTTGGAATTGGCAGTGTTCAATATGAGTGTCATCAAGGAGAGGTCTTGATTGTGTATTGGAACCAATAATATTTGTTGCAATTTTAAAGCCTTTCAGTACATTATATAATGATGTGCGACTGCTACTTCAGCTTATTTAACAGGAAATCCTTGTGGTACAACAGATACCTTGTAATTCCAGAACTTGTGTAACAAATGTATTGAAAATCCAGGTATTTACTGAGTTCAGGACAGTGCTGCCTAAAAGATTTTCATTTTTGCTGTGTTAGCCACATCACATCCTGGGTATTATTGAATACAAATAGCATCTCCGCTGTTTCATATTGAGAACTTTCCTGAAATATATGGGCTGTTCAGCTACTTTTACTTGTTCCTTTTTCACAATTTGCTTAAGTTCGGGAAGTGGTGCTGTTTTAATTACCTTTCATCAGAGTAGCTCTGAGACACTTGACATCTTATTGCATGGTTGCATGAAAAATGTAATGAAACACTTTTTTTTTGTTCTATAGTGTTATATATATTTACACTTTTGATATTTTTCATTTAATTCCTTAAAGTTTTTTAGTAATGATCTACTATATACTATTTGTATGCATTTAATAACATGACTTTTTCTTTTGACTTTCCTAGGATTCTGGACATCCCTGTACAGCTAATGATCCCGGCAACTGTTTTATGCCAGTGTCCCCACAGCACTTCATTGACCTTTTCAAGTTTTAGAGCGTTGTGTGCACCGTTTATTTCGTAGAGCAGGGCAAAACCAATTGCTGCTTGATTTGTTTAATGTGCAATATATGTTTAATTTTTCCTACAAGTCAAAGGGCTCAATGGAGATCTTTTGTTCCGCATGTTATGTAATAAATGCTCTCGTATGTTGCAGAAAGGTCGGAGGATGGTGTATGGATTGCACTTGGACATTTGTGAAAGATGTCTTGAGAAAATTTTAAAATGCAGTTATTTTCACTGACAATATTAAGAGAGGAATGACGAAATGTGCTTTTTGGTGGCTGTGTAGCGGGTGGAGGTTAATATGTTGGTTTTATTTCTCCTTGTTAATGAGCGCACATAGAATGATGAGTAGTTCATTACTGTTCACTGTTTTGTCATGCTGTGTACATGTTTAAAGCGTCAAACACTAAAATGTAAATTTACAATTAAAACTTTTTTTTATTATATCCTTTTGTTAAATCTGCTATAAAGCAGAATCAAACTATAATGGCATTATTTATGGAAAATAATTTTGTATCCTTTTCTTTAAATATTTTGTAATCTTCCTCTATCATTCCAGCGACCAGATAAGTGTAGTGGTGAAAAACCGATCATGCTGTTGGTACAATTAAAGATTTGCTAATGAAAGTGACTAAATATAATAAAAATGCATTTAAAAATGTTTTAATTTTGTGGTCAACTAGCTTATTTTTACCGCAATGTCCCTGGGAGTTATCTAAGAGCACTGTGATGTTCTTTAAAAAAGGAACTTTGAAATATATAGAAAATTTTGCCTGGTTAAACTTCTTATACACTTAGTTATGAGACGGATTCCAGCCATCCATCCTTTATCAGAAAGGTAGTTAGTTATTCCTGGTCAGGGTTGCAGCTACTCCCTGGACAGGACTCGTGTCCATTGCAGGACTTACACTCATTACACAAGGCATTTTGGGGATTGATTAAATGTTTCTGTCATCATTTTGATTGAACCAATTAGGCCTCTTGAGTGGCTCAGCTGGTAAAGGTGCCACAAGCACAAGTTGGACTCTGTGCTCCAGGTGTAGTCAGTTCAAGCCTTGTCTTTAAGCAGGTTAATTGTGACTGGAATTCCTCACGTTCGCTGAGCATTTCTGAGTGAGGGGTGGGAATTGTCCAGCAGGAGTGTCTTGGCCCTTGGCAAACATCGAGAATCCTGTGGCCTCCAGGGGTTTTTGTGGGTTTGCAATGCTGTCAGTGAGGGGATGTGCCTCTTTCCCAGATGGTTCTCTACCTGTGATACTGGGCAGTGCTACTTTATTCAAGACCTGTGGTCTCACATACATTCTGATGGGACCACCTTCATTGCCTACGCTCCTGCTGCTCATGAAACAGTGGCCATCTTGCCAGATGAGAAAATAACAGTTAAGACATGGGAACTCCGCTTAGGTCCAAACCTGAGCGCTGTCATGCATTAGTGGGATGACTTGTGGTATCTAGCATTCAAACACCGTGAACACACTATTCCAGGCTCCATGATGAGAACTGGACAGAATCCTATGGACCAGCTTCTGCAACCCAATGCAAATCATGCATCCCAGAAATACATTTATATAGCCTTATGAACGTATTGTCACACAATGCTCCTTGTCTGGGCCTTTCACAGTAGGCCCCCTGATGATGATGGTTACTATTAACATTATCATCACGGGTTCTACTGTGAAATGGCACATCATCATAAATGTATCCGTCACTTCTGCCGAATAAAACGTAGCACCTGCTACAAAAAAGATGTTCTCATTTTTAATCATTATGAATCTTAAGTTAAAGAAATTATTTCGTCACCTTTCATATTTGTCATGTGTCAGGTGACAAAAATGGGTTATTGAAGTTTCTAAAATTAATTTCTTAAATCCACCTTCAAGGAGAGATGTAGAAAGACTTCGGTCTTTTCCGTCGATGAAATAACACTGGTATGGAGAGGTTGTTTGGAATGCCAATCACAAAATACTTACAGTACGTGCAACAGAGTGAGGCCATGTTGAAGAATATTAATAGACTAGCAAAGGATATTCCAGTATGGAAACTGAACACATGGATACAAATTTCAAAAACTACTTGGATTTTTATTGAAAATATGACCTTATATCTCCCATTAAAAGAATAATCTCACCCTTGCTATCACATATTCAAATAACAAATCAGTTTTTCATAGTTTGCAACATGATCATTTGCAGTTGAATGAATCAGCATTTGTAGCACATACAAAAATGAATACGTAATTGTTTGCAAAAAATCTGGCATGGCCTCCCATTTATACATTGGAATTTAGGTCACACTAATGACCTAGTTTTGCATATCATGATCACCAGTTGGCCACTGAAGGCTGGATTTTCTGTTAAACACAGGCAAAGTGAACTTCAGTTAAACAGTTTATGATCTGATTCGAGACACTAATATTGTTGAACACTGGGATTGTGTAACTAAAAAGAACAATGCATAAAGATATTTTTTACTAAGGCAAAAGGATAATATATAATATAAATATTTTTTATTTTGATTTAAGAGTTTTTAAAGAAGTACAAATCTCCAGTTCTTGATTTTTTTGTAACATATATAAAAGTTTTTTAAGGGCTAAAAATATTTAATTAGACAGTAATTGTTCTGTTAATGGCTTCAGTAATCAATTAAGCTAAGGTGAAATAAATCCCAGAAGGTAAAATGTGTTCCAACAACTGAGTTTGATATCACTATTAAATATATGGTATAGAAGGGAGTTGCAGAAAAGTTTACATAAATTGTCTGAAATGTTTCTTAAATAAAGGGACCTTAAATAATATATTTAAAATTCAAAATATAACAACAAATCACAATCAACGTGTTTTTAAGCAATCTGCAGAAAACAAAAGTGTTATTCACTAGAACAAGGACAAATAGAGAATAAAAACCATGATTTGACATGTTTACACTGATACCTTTAACAGTTAAATGGAAAAATATAACATTTAGAAAAAAGGGCTTTACACTGTATTATTTCATTAAATTATTTTTGCTGGTGTAACTGGAGAAGTGGAAAAAAAAAAGATTTGTTTACCAAGTAATTTGAAAGATTTGTTTGACATGGCAAAAATGCTGGGAAAATATATTAAACTTCAGTCCTTGAAAAATTATTCTACAGAGTTATGGAAAATAGATTACCCAAGCCAATTTAATTCTCTTAAGGTTATCACTATGTAAAACTCTTAATAGTAAGAATTATAAACTTTGTTAGGTTAAATAAAACACTCAAAGTCCAACAGATTAATCATAATAGTGACAGAAACAATGTTTTAAAGGCATCATTTTTCCTTATAATCACAAGGCTTCTGGAAATCAAAAGGTTTCGGCTTCTCTAAAGCTCATAAGCCAAACACTTTGTAGTAAGCTTAACAGAAGCACATGATACAGCTTTACATTGACTATACTGTGCTCATATTCCTGCAGGGAGAGAGCTATTTTACATTTCCTGTCCTTGCAGTCTAAGAAGTGAAAGCAAGCAAAAAAAGAGACATCACTACAGAGGACCTCACACAAATAAAGAACCACAGCAAATTTAAATTTTAATATTTAAGCATTTAAAAGTGAATTCAATTTGTGTCAGAAAACTATTTTATTTACTTTCATTTCTACTTGATGGCCAGTGCATGGACAATCTAAAGGCAGTATAAGGCATTTTGTGTGTCCCCATCCCCTCCATAATTCTGAGCTTACAGCTTTGCATAAGAGAATTCTTCTACCCAAATCTTGCAAGATATTTTTAAATCAAAAAAAGGAACGGTCAAAAACAGCAGCACAGGCAGGCAGGTGTTGCAATCTATACGATATGTGAAAGGATCTCATTTCTACCCCTCCAAAATTTCCGAAACATTTCCTCTGCTTCGCCTCCTCATGCCCGCAAGCTTTTCTTTTGCTTTGGTGCTCCACTTCGGACCAGAGTTCTTGGGATCGGTCAAGTTTGAGTAGTTAGAAGTGTCCTCCTCTAAACCGGGCCATGATGAGGGCTCTGTGGGGAATGTGAGGGCATCTCTGGCCGTGTGCTCTTCAATAACATCAGTGACTTGTGGAGGCTCCCACCCTTCAATCTTATCCAATTTCTTGGTTGGCGTAATCTGCTTCATAGTCATGGTCACAGTTTCCCAGAAGCAGTAGCTCTTTTCAACATACATCTTACTTTTCTCCTCCTCCTTTTTCTTGTTAGATCTAGAAGACAAAAAAGGACAACAATGTAGAAATCAAAGTTCCGCAAGACATAACCAGCTCTGTCCAGTATTATTTCACACACCTCTAAAGAGCTCAAAATGTCCTTATGACCAATTTTAAAAGGCTACTGAGGGGTTGAACTTCGAGACAAGAGAAACAACTTGGCTTCCAGGAATGATGTTTTGTTCTTTTACAATTTGTAATTTCCAGGTAAGGTAAATTGCAGTTATTCCTCTGGATACAAATAAAAAGCAGGCTTCTTTTTAAGCACTCTTTTTTAGTGGAAGGGATTTTCCTTTAACTGAGGAACCATTTTGTAAAACTAATGGTTTTTTAACTTGTGAGGTCGAAAAAAGAAATATAAAACAATTCCATCTTGGACTGGCGGAAGTTGATTGCCAGGATGGGCTCTGGTTCCCCCATGACCCTGAATTGTTTGTACTGCAAGAAGACAGAAGCAGAGTTCCTTCTCTCAGTCATACTCCAGTGAATTTGACTGCATCATTAGGAAAACAGTTGTTTGTGGGTCTAAGTGTGCACCTAAAAGATGCCGATTGAATACTGACCTGGGGTGAGTTGTGCATGCTGCCTATACCATATACAACGCACTAGAATTTTTAGGAACTTTTCAGAGTTCAGCTTTTCAGAAATGTATTGTTTTCTTTACAGTTATGGTAAATGACCTTACTCGTACTTCAATTTTCTCAAAACATTCCCAAAATTGAATTTGCAATTTAAAAAAAAATCTAAATCACTAATACTTTTACCTTCTTAATGTGTTAGAAGGAGCACTCTGACCTAATAAAAACCATCTTAAAAATTAAACTCTTCTGTGATATCAGACACTTCAGAATACAATAAAATGACTGGTTAAACTGTTAACTGTGTTATCGTGTGTTGATACTCTGGTGTATCTTAAAAGATGTGACTAAATTCACAAAGGGCCTTTTCAAGGATCTTTTAAATATTTTGTACTGTGAAGAAATATTTGGTCAAATTCCTAAGATGAGAGAGTGCTGTCGATGGCAAAGGTCTCATGTGAGTAACTCTGCACTCCAGAAAGAATTTTCAGAGGAAAGAAATTGGATTGTCTTGAGTTAATAATTTAACATTTTATCTAGCCACCCACAGCACAAGGTAACCTGTGAAAAACCTCAAAGTGTACTTGTGCAGAGAAAATTTCTTCTTAGCCTAAATTTCTGTCCACATGCTTAACTTTGCATTCTTTTGAATGGTTTTGGTCCCATAAGATTCACATGTTGGTTAAGCAGATATCCCCATCAAGGTCAATTTACAAAATATCCAATGATATCTGAAGTAAATACAAAGAAAATTATGTATGATGATGTATTGATTTACAGAACATCAAATAATAGACATTGTAAATATTTTTAAAAAGCCTCAATTTTCAGTCCTCCTCCCCGTATAATCAAACTATGTAGGAGGTATGGGGCCATATTAAAAAGCCTTTTGTGGCAAATGTATTGACAACGTTCACTTTTTAGCTGTATTTTTTTTTACTGCATTCCATACTCTTAAGCATTATACCATTCCAAATAGATATGCACAGGTTTAAGCTATTTTGCAAACATATAGTCTTGTGTAGGGCTACCAGCTATCCACATTATAGATCTGCCCTTTATGATAAGATAGATGAGATCATTGCCATATACAATTTCTTGTATAAGGACTTTGTCTTCTCGCATACCCCGACTTGCTCTCCAACACAGAGACAGGGAGAGAAGCTTGGGGTCAGAGTGCAGGGTCAGCCATTTATACAGCACCCCTGGTTGCAGTTGGGGTTAAGGGCCTTGCTCAGGGGCCCAACGGAGTAGGATTCCTCTGTTGGCCGTGGGATACGAACCGGCAACCTTCCAGCCACAGGCGCAGATCCTTAGCCACAGAGCCACCGCTCCAACCTCAAACTTTACAAGTCTCTCATGAGCCTTCTGTCAGACAATATTTATATTGCCGTATCATGTGTAGTCTCATACTTGATTACATGTGGGTAGCTGTGTCAGCATGCGTAGTCTGCAAAGGAACAAGTAATAGGTTTATTCTATGCTGAAAAGAGAAGAAGAGAAGGTGACACACCTGAAGAGGGCTCCACAGCCAAAACGTTGCGTTTTCTTTCTTCTCTTTCCAGCATGGAATAAATCTATAACTTTTTCCCTTACTTAATTGCATGGCAACATCAGAATAACAAGAACTGAAGTTCAGAAAAAGAAAGTCTTTCTTAACCTGCTCGACAGAGAGACAAGATCTGAAAACTAGCTTGCCACACAATTGGTTTTGCGTCAGTGTTTCAGAGATGTTAATACTTAAATAAGAACTTAGAGAACTGAGAACAAAGAATTGCAATTTGAAACATCTAAAATATGGTACATGCAAGGTGGGAATAGAATGTGTGGAGCTGTAACTTCTCATTTTATACTGCAGCAAGTAACAGATTTTACACATCCAAAATGGTCATCCCCAAGGATTGGTTTTCCGGGATAAGTCTTGTACTTAGTGCTTTATAAATAGCTTTACTGTTTACATGACTGAAGTGGTTTGTATTCTATTTGTCTTTCAGGTTGCAAGTCATTTAAAAAAAAGAAGCCTTATGCAGAGAAAACTCTACTGGTGGTAGCTGTGCTGGAGCTGAGGGTGGCTGTGCTCTATCCACTGCTCACAGAAAGCTGCTAATGGGGATTAGGGTTACAGCACATCTGCTATAGAAGCACAAGGTACAAGGCAGGACAGAGAACACATGACTGGTCTCTTCCTGGACAGGATTCCAGTCCATTTCTCTGAATTCACAGAACCCTAGAACTGTGAGGTTGCAAAGCTAATCACTACGCATAGTGCCTGGAAGTAGAACAAAAAAAAAAAATCAATAGAACAGGGTAAAATCAAGAGGGGTGATAGAAAAACAGGTCTGAACACTGCCTTAGATCTGAATTGTTAAAACATCCGTTGTCCTTTTTCAATCTAAAAAACTAGCAAGAGCACATGGTAAACATAAGTGGAAAAGTGCTTCGAGCAACATGGAGACTGTAGTACACAGGTTTAACTAAGGGATTACTCTGAAACAGAGGGAAGACCTCTTTGATCAGGAACACTTGCTGCCAAACTACCAAGAGAAACCTTACCGTCGTAACAAGCAGAATTGCAGCGTGGCCTACAGAGCTCAAAGAGGAACACTAGAACAAAGACAGGATATTCTGGGGGAATCATTTTTCGCTAAAATTCTTTCATGCAAAACCCCTGGCTGAGACATTGTATGATTTGCGTACATAACTAGCCTAGTGAAGATGAAAGAACTACCACTGAGAGAAATTAAGACCTGGCGAGGTGATAATGTTCCATTCCAGATCGTTTATTTTTGTTTTATCATACAAGAGCCTTTGCAGTTTTCCTTAGGTAAATTAAAAAAGAAAACGAGCACCACCTAACCATCAATAGAATAATACAGTAGGTTTTTTCAAGTTTTGGCCTTCTGATCTTTACAATGTTTTGTGGAAAAAGTGGATCTCTACCTCCTCTTATATCCCAATAACTCTTCATGCCACTATGGCCTTGTGTTTAATTTTCACGGTTACTCTTACTGATGAACATAACGTTTACCAAACTAAGTGCTAAGTCAGACAGTGCTCTATGCTCCATTTCTTTTTAAAGTACATGGATATGAGTTAGTCAGGAAAATTCCTTGACACCTTCAGTTTTTAAAGTGTTAGGACAGATGTGTCCATGTCCTTACTAATTTGTATTATTTTTTTCATTACTTTGAGGTTACTTCACAGAAATATTTTCAAAATGTGCAAAATATTTACAAGATGAATTATGGTTTACAACCTTCAAAGACTTACCCTTTTCTATTTACTGGTGTAACTCCTGTTAATAGAAAGTGTTCGTCGTCTTCAATAATGATAGGTTTCTTCTCCTTCTTAGCTTTCGCTTTTTTACCCTTTTCCTATGGGGAAAAAAGAAAACGATAAAACAAAAAATCCCTCCTTTCTAGAACTGAGATCCTATGGTAATTTCTGTTATTAGCAGGGTAGCGGAGTGTGTGTCTATTCTTCCCCGTCCTAGTGGATCTAACAAGGAATGTCTGGATAATTTAATTACCTCTTTACATTCATTATTAAAACTACAAGGAGACAAGAACCAAGCACTAAAAATCCTCAAAGGAAATAGCCAAAAAGAACCCAAATGGACTTCTTGGAGATTTACAGTGAAACACAAACCAGAGGACAAGAGAGGAAACTAAAGGAAAGCATTTAGGCCTTAAAATTCAATTGAAGACACTTCATTTATTTTTGAAATAGTTAGCAATGGGAGTCACATTAAAGCCCTTATAATAATCCTATAGTTGACTGCCATTTCTAACACCTCATCTCTAATGTTAGAAACACAGCACAGAGAAGGCTGTTCTTGTACAGCGAAAGAGTGGATTTTTGCCATCTGCTAAAGACAGATGAAACAGTATATACTTGGCTGATGAATTAGCATTTCAAAAACCTCCCTCCAGTCTTTGGTCAAGTGTCACCCAGGAATTTCAATCAGAGGAATCACAGCTTCCTTTGAATAGCCTGGTGCTTTACAGCCGTCATGTGAAGAGCTTCTTGCAGATGGCCCACATATCAGTGCCAATACTTTATACCTAGTCTTTTTCTCTCATTCTTGGACAGGAATGTGACAAAAATGGAAGTTGCAAAAAGACAAAACAAACAAATAAGCCGCACATAAACAACAAAGGACAAAAGCAACAAAACATTGAAATCCGCAGTCTTGTCCAACAGCACTGCTGTGTACGCAACAAAATCTTAACAGTTAAGAGCACACTGCAGTAATCTGTCATGCTTTCATCTTTATTTAGGAAAGAATTACACATGTTCGTTGAATATATGTACGCTAGGGTGTCGACATCTGGAAGCTTAACATTTTGGAATTCGCTTATTCGAGATACCGTCTGGTTGACCAGAAAAGAGCAGAGCAAGATTAAAATGAGCTGAAGGTTAAGTACAACTCTCAAATTGGAGGCACAACAGAGTAGGATTGTCAGACAAATCTAACCAGTAAGTGAGCCTCTCGCTGCACAGCACCCAAGTACGCACTACCCAGAATCCACATCTCAACGTGGTCTTGTTCTCATTTCGTAACGAACTCTCCTGGTTCTGTGTCTGCAGCTGGGCCGTGAGAGGATGGAGACGGACTGTTTAATTCCCAGCTTCGTTACGGTAGGGCATGACGATCACGGAGACAGAGAGAAACAATGCTGGAGGCAGAGGAGGGCTTCATGTTGTTTATTTGAACTGATTAGTGCAAGTTTGTGATTACTTTGTCATTACTGTTGGTTATTTTAGCTGATCAGCGCCATTTAAATCAGACTTGAAGCCAGTGCATTTGTACATTAATTATCATTTAGGGAGGATTACTCACTGTATGTTTTTTAAACAAACTATATACTTTAGTACATTTTGCAACAGAATAGGGCTGGACTTGGCTATATGGGAACATGGCAATTCCCAACGGTTCTCTGCACCAATCCCTCACAAATATCAAAACCCTACTGTATAGCACTTTGATTCCCATAGACCTTTCCCAATTACAGTGTCCTCCAAAGGTATGGAGACTACAAGGTCAAAACTGCAATTTTTGTTTTACAGTCAAGGAGTATGTATTACTGATCCTGATATTAGTACATTTACAGAAACATTTTGTCTGCTTATGTAGAACAAAATGGTCCCATACTTCCTTCACTGTGCAAACGGACAATGACCCATCCAGCCAATGCAGTGAAGGAGTTCACCAGAGAAAACAAATCTAAGCCTGACCAAGCCAGTCTCCAGACTGAAATCCAATTGTCCAGATTTTCTCTTCAGCTTGGCATGACGTCCCGGCACCCACAGGACGTGCAAGAACTCAAAGTGGCTGCAACAAAGCATCTCAAATGATTACTGAAAGAATATGGAGTGCTCAATAGATTTCAGGCTTCACACAGCTTTGCCTCAAAGGGATATTCCACTTAATATTGACTTTTACACTGTGAAACTGGATTAAAGTGAATATGCCCCTATACTTAAAACCGCTGGGTTCGAATGCAAAGTATGTTTGGGGAATTACCCAACAATAACTATTATATTGCACTTATATTGACATTGATCACACAGGTTTGGAGTGTCCCCATACAGTTATAGATTTAGTATAAATAAAATGTAACAACTTTCTTTTGATTGCAGATAACACTGTTTAACACACAATGTGAGACTGCCATTATCCTGTTGTGTTAAAAGAAAATTTCAAATCAGAATTGATTTTTCAAAACAGATTTCTTCCATCTTCATCTTGGTTTCCTAGAAGATGTAGCATTCTTCAGTAAGGCACTATAATCATATTTTATTTAGCTTTATTTCCATAATACGTATTGAGCTTTATCTAGTTTCATAATGTGTAGTTTTATCTGCAATAGTCCGATATGTAGTCCTAATTTAAACAGGAACATCTCTTCATATGGTATTTTGAGACAGACATGCCTGCACACTTACTGTACTGTATGAATGTGTTCAAATGAGAAATCTACAGGCAAAGCATCAAGGCACAAAGTTCTGATAATTTTTTTAACAGTTTTCAAATTAATACAGAAACGAGCAGATCTTAATTCTATGCTGAAAAGAAAAAAATAAATCTAGCCTCCCTGCGTGAAACTTTTTTTCTTCTTTTTACATTTCAGCTTAGAATTAACCTATACTCACTCCTTTGCAGCTCAAAAACTGATGTTGTGGTTCGCTCTCAATCTCTTCAATATTAAGTTGAATTTCATCAACTTAAAACATGTTTCCTGGCTCCTCTATGAAAATACAAAGTTGCCTAAGATGCATCTGGAGAGTTGCACTTTCAAAAGCAGTATTAATCACAATTAATAGGAAAGGGTTTAAAGTAGGGCAATTGTTAACACTAAACTCTAGGGGCTTTATATTATTGAAAGGTGAAGTCCAGGTAAGGAACAGAACCAGATAAGTCAATAATAACTATTCTGGCGGCTACTTTCTGATTTTCGGATAGCTTTTGTTTCTGTGTGAAGGAATGTTCCAACAAGCACAACACAATCATGGATTTTCCACACATACCATTTCTTGACATACTGGAGTGGTGTATACACAATTCACTACAAGTTTTTATTCTAGAACCAATATGATTCACTATTTAGACAACTTGATGAGATCATAATATCATATTTGCTAAAAGCATCACTTATTCTTTATTTTTGTCAATCTCATGCACAGACTATATTTTCACGTTTGCCTGCTTTTTCACAACAATAAGTATTTGTAACAAATGGTGGACTTGAAGAACCTTCATATCCTCCTTGATTACTGAAGGAATATTTTGAGGGAACCTTTCTCTTCTGAAAACAATTACATGTACATTTTGCCATTTATTAATGTGTAGGGACAAAAAAATGTAGCAACAAAGGTGTACATATTTAATTATGCATTTAAGTCCTATAAAAGTCATATATCCACTGCAACATGCACACACAAACTAGGATTAAAGTAGAAATAAAAGCAAAAGGTGATTACTGGCACTCAACAAGAAGCTATTTAAAGAGGTCCTTGTCTTATGTACCAACACACAAATTATCTGGCTCCAAGAGCATCAACTCTTAGGTTCACAAACTATTGACTGCTAGACAACAGCATACTTAACAGCTTTTCATTTTCTGAAAACTGAAGTTCCTGCTTTATGATCATTAAAGCTCAACCTTTTGAGAGTTAGGTGTGATCTTAACACTACGGGAACATGGAAACCAAGAAACTGGGATCTGAATTTATTACTCGATTTTAATTTTCTCCCACTGCTCCTTATTGAGCAGAAATTAAACCGTGACGAGGAAGTATTTTTCCAGCATGTAAAAAAACAGCTCCTTTGAATCTTGCTTTGAAACTGCGCTGCCTGTTATACTTCATGTACAGTATACAGATTCCCTTTAAGCAGCACGGTGCTTAAAAACAGGTTTTCGCTATGGATTGTGTTAGGTAAAAAGAAGTTGCCACCTCGCTGTCTCTTCAATGTAGCCCAAGGCCCATTTTTGTGTTTATCCTTTGTATCACTCTACACCCATTTCTCAGGCTACAAAACGCTCAATTATGATGTTCCAGACACTCTCCCCACCCCGAAGCTATTTTTTTATTCAGCAATTACAGTTTCCCTTTGTCTCCATGGAAAATTTAGGTTTTTGCTAATTCCTTTATCACATTCTGTGAATGTTTTCTTTAAGATTTATTCGAAGTACATTTTCTGTGCCTTTGCTGTATTTAGGTATACCCCCTGTTCCCTTACACTGTATGTAGGAGCTACAGAGGTTGTGCTGGTCTTTATCTTTTTCTTTCTTTCATATTGGCTCCTGTCAGAAGATAAAAGAACACACACCCATGAAACGTTTTCACCTGAAACAAAAAAAAAAACTAATTTCTGTGGCAAATTCAGTCTGGCTACAGCTGCTATTTATTTTTCACAGATCATTGTTGTCTTAGGGTAATTTTGTTTTTAAACAAAATGTGAAAAACCTATTGTGCAGTCTTAGAGCTCTTGCAAATAAAACAATCTAACTCTTCAAAGCACTTAATTCAATTTTGCAATTTTCCAACTTAAAAATCCCATATCCTAAAAATCATCCTAAAAAAACTGCATCCCCCCCCAATTTGTATAGTTTTCACCCTTGGATTAGACCAAAACCCACAATGAAAGTTCAAACTCTGTATTTAAATACTCAAAGAAGTTTCAGGGATATTCAGATTGCTGCAGGCAGTCTACAGGCCTAAACTCAGCAGTGACAGAGAAAGGATTCAGCTGTAAAACCTTATCCTTCAGGTGCGGGAGACAAGGCTGTCTGTTCTACCCCAGCTCTTAACAGGAGGCCCACTTCAATTCCTCCTCTGAGGGAGGAAGGCAGCCACTTCATTTTCCATG